ATTATTATTATTATTATTATTATTATTGCATCAAAGAGAGAGACTAGTGATTTTAATGTGTACCTACATGCCAGCACAGTGTGTAAGTTTATTAGGTACGGTGTACACAAGTTAATTATCAAGTACAATACATATAAAATATACAATAACTTTAAAACACTTGAAATTTTGGAAAGTTTCCAGACATAATAAGGAGATGTGCTCAGGGAGAACGTAAACAAACTCAGTGGGCAGCTGTGACCGAATTAGAAAGACAGGTGGGGGGAGCTGTATAGCGAGTTTTGGTCATAATTTGAAATGTCCGTATTAGCGGAACGCCGTAAAGCGAAACGCCGTAAAGCGGGGCCATGCTGTATATTTATAGATGGGGTTGTAGAGGAAGGAAATGCTAGGGTGTTCGGGAGAGGGGTGGGATTAAATTTTGGGGAATCAAATTCAAAATGGGAATTGACACAGTTACTTTTTGCTGATGATACTGTGCTTATGGGAGATTCTAAAGAAAAATCGCAAAGGTTAGTGGATGAGTTTGGGAATGTGTGTAAAGGTAGAAAGTTGAAAGTGAACATAGAAAAGAGTAAGGTGATGAGGGTATCAAATGATTTAGATAAAGAAAAATTGGATATCAAATTGGGGAGGAGGAGTATGGAAGAAGTGAATGTTTTCAGATATGTACTTGGGAGTTGACTTGTCAGAGGATGGATTTATGAAGGATGAGGTTAATCATAGAATTGATGAGGGAAAAAAGGTGAGTGGTGCGTTGAGGTATATGTGGAGTCAAAATACATTATCTATGGAGGCAAAGAAGGGAATGTATGCAAGTATAGTAGTACCAACACTCTTATATGGGTGTGAAGCTTGGGTGGTAAATGCAGCAGTGAGGAGGCGGTTGGAGGCAGTGGAGATGTCCTGTTTAAGGGCAATGTGTGGTGTAAATATTATGCAGAAAATTCGGAGTGTGGAAATTAGGAAGAGGTGTGGAGTTAATAAAAGTATTAGTCAGAGGGCAGAAGAGGGGTTGTTGAGGTGGTTTGGTCATTTTGAGAGAATGGATCAAAGTAGAATGACATGGAAAGCATATAAATCTATAAGGGGGAAAGGAAGGCGGGGTAGGGGTCGTCCTCGAAAGGGTTGGAGAGAGGGGGTAAAGAGGTTTTTGTGGGCAAGGGGCTTGGACTTCCAGCAAGCGTGCGTGAGCATGTTAGATAGGAGTGAATGGAGACGAATGGTACTTGAGACCTGACGATCTTTGGAGTGTGAGCAGGGTAATATTTAGTGAAGGGATTCGGGGAAACCGGTTATTTTCATATAGTGGGACTTGAGTCCTGGAAATGGGAAGTACAATGCCTGCACTTTAAAGGGGGGGTTTGGGATATTGGCATTTTTGGAGGGATTGTTGTTATCTTTTTTATTGTATCTTCTAAACTGTTGAAATCGACACCCCCTGCAAAAACAGTGTTTAATGTGGAGTGTGGTGAAATTTTTGAAGAATGAAAGAAATTTTCTTTTGGGGATTTTCTTCTTTTTGGGTCCCAAATTGTATGGGGCCCACTTTTGAGAGAATGGATCAAAGTAAATTACAGGAAAAAAAAGTCTATAAAAGAAGTGGGGTCCTCAAGGTTAAGACTAAAGATATTTTGATAAGGTTAATTCCAATGTCTGCTGGCAGTTAGGCATCCTTGAATGGAGACAAATGTTAATTGAGCCACTGGTCTTTGGGATTTGCTGAAGAGCAATTTTGTGTGAAATTGTAACCTGTTTTTGTCATTGTAGCTGGACTGGTCCTGACAATAAACAAGCATCCTTAAAATTTATATTGCGTTCCAGCAAGTCCTTTGTACTTTAGCTGACCATTGATATGTCAACTGTTGTCCCCATCTCAAAATCAGTTGATAATTAAGTTGTGGGAAGTGTTGAATTTAGTTTGTTCTTGGGATTGTTTACTTTTGGTCCCCTTGTTGGCCCGATTTTGTTGAAATAAAAAAAAAAAAAAGTTTGGAAAAATTCAACTTACAAAAATAGTTTATATAGATTTAAATACAATGTCTTAGAGGGATTGATTAATTAAATTATGTCTTTGTTGTAATGAATTTTAGTATGAAAGTCTTGTTTTAGTCTGTTGTTATAAGTACTTGTTTATAAATTTAACGATGAGTTATGATGTTACTGAATTTTAACGTAATAGGGTGTCCATTGAGAGAGTTTTACCCAGTCATAGCCTCTGATACTAAGTTTTACGATTGTTATTGGCTAATGGAGTTTTTACATGTCTGTGTGTTGTTGGATCTATGTTAATTGTTAATATGTATAAATAGTGGAATATCATACAGAAAAATAGATAGACAGAATATACAAATAAAGAGATTTGATTTATATTAAATATAGTGTATGAATTAAGAGGACATGTTTTAGGGAGTTATACATGTTACTTGTGTATGAAATTAAATGACTTGTTACTGATTGTCATAGATTGAGTATGATTAAATGTCATAGTTGTGACTACATTAAAATGTTTATGGCTATGATATCGTGAGTTATAGTACTATGTACCTTTTTGATCATAATCAATTCCAAAGATGATCGATATAAACGAATCATGTTAAATGGCATAAACATAACAGCATATTTTTATAGATTTTGATGTAATTACAATTATGTACTTTCAGATTGTCCCATAATAAGTAATGTGATTTTGTAATTATGTTACAGTTATCTATGTTATAGAACACAACCTAATTTCGTATAACCTCAGATTATTCAACAACTCAACAACAAGAAATTTTCCCATAAAAAAGTGAATAAATAAATACTTCCAACCCCAAATGACAATATATTAATAATGTACTAACTCTACATAAAACAATGATAAATTATAAGCACAGGAAACTGAAAATGAATACTAATGAAATTTTAACTGAAATACTGTACAGTAAACGAAAATTTAACTGAAATGCTGTACAGTAAATGAAAATTTAACTGAAATACTGTACAGTAAATGAAAATTTAACTGAAATACTGTACAGTAAATGAAAATTTAACTGAAATGCTGTACAGTAAATGAAAATTTAACTGAAATACTGTACAGTAAATGAAAATTTAACTGAAATGCTGTACAGTAAATGAAAATTTAACTGCCCCTTACCTGTCAGAGGAGAGCTAATGGAATACTGGAAGTAGGATGTAGAGGAGAGGAAGGGGTATGTTATTGCTTGGAAGGAGAGTCACCTTCTATTAATATGTCAGACAACTGTCCTTCTGGTTTTGTTTCTCTTTGTCTCTCTTCACCACTAACAACTTAATCTTGCTCACTAGTTCTGTCTCACTAAAAACCTGTCCAGTGAGTTTTGTGTCAGGCTCCATTTTAACATTTATCTAAATTGAGACATTACACTGTCATTGTACATGTTAGAGAGACAGATGGCCACTACTTTGTATGGATGGTATTTTTCAGCAAACTCCTGCACTTCACGCAATTTGGCACACACTTCTTGACAAGTGCAATGGGCACATCATCCCTTCCCTCCTCCTCCTCTGATAACAGCTCCTCTGCTGCAATCTGCTGCTGCACCTTCTGAAGGTCTAGAAGTTCCTTTCTGGTGAGTTTAGTTCTATGCTCCTCCACCAACTACTCCACATCATCTTCAGGCACCTCTGGGCCCAAGGTCTTCCCCCAGGGACACAATACCCACTACCATCTCAGGCTCATCTTCAAAGCTTTCAAAATCCCTGGCTGCCACAAAGTCAGGCCACAGTTTCTTCCATGCTGACTGCATGATCCTGGAAGACACACTCTCTCTCAGACTATGTCTATAAGTCTCAAGCAGGTTAGGATATTGAAATGGTCCTTTCAGAATTCCCTGAGGGTTAAATTTGTTTCTTAAGTGATTTCAAAGCACCTTTCAAAAACTACTTTGCTGCAGTTTTTTGAAGTTAGAAATGACCTGCTGGTCCATGGGCTGGATGAGAAGAGTGGTGTTAGGAGGCAAGAACTTCACAGTTATAAAACTGAACTATTCCAGCAACTCATTTTCCAAGCTTGGAGAGTAAGCAGGAGCATTATCCATAGGTATAAGGGTACTGGGTGGGAACTGTTTTTTAATGAGGTACAGGAGGCCCTCCACATTCATGAGGGTTAGGGGATCAAGAACCTCACAAATCTTGAAAATTCGCGAATGTTTGGTGCACAAATATAATGTAGGGAAATATAATAATACTGTACTGTAGCGTTTGCAAATGTTTTGATGCACAAATATATTGTAGGGAAATAACAGCATTTCCTTATCCTAACAATACTGCTTACTTAACCCTTTGACTGTTTTGGTCGTATATATACGTCACACAAGCCAGTGTTTCGGACGTATATATACTCAATAATTCTAGCGGCTTCAAATCAAGTAGGAGAAAGCTGGTAGGCCCACATGTGAGAGAATGGGTCTGTGTGGTCAGTGTGCACCACATAAAAAAAAATCCTGCAGCACGCAGTGCATAATGAGAAAAAAAAAGACCGTTTTTTTGGATTAAAACGCCGACTTTGAGGTGTATTTCTGTATTTATCGTTGTATTATCATTTTCATGGTATCCCGTGATAAAATGGAAAACATATTGCAGAAACAGAGATGGTTTTGATAAGTTTCACGATGAAAACGACCTTGAAATTGAGCTCAAAGTAGCGGAAATGTTCGATTTTCACCAATGTTCAGGAGTAAGCAAATCACACCACACGTCCAATACACGTCAACTGGGGAGTCTAATATTCTTTCACTAGTGCACTGATATTATTTATACCATTTTTACAATAATGCAGTGGTCTCCATAACAGTAAATTTTGTATTTTTTTGTATGAATAAAAAATCAAAATAGAAAGCAACAGTAATATAAGAGAGGCCTAGAGATGTGACTAATGAACAGAGGATATGTTATTTTAGTGCCAAGAATGTCTACATTGTTTATTCTGAACCCTATTTTGAAATTGGCATCTTTTTTAATTTGCGTGAAACTGGCCAAATTGCCAATTTCTGACCACTTTATTGGGTGGTTCAAATCGGTAAATGGGAGGTTTCTTGTACTCAATTAATAGAAAAAAATGGAATTCTAAAGAAATAGCTATGAGCTTAGTCAACTGGAACAACGGAATTGGCTAAAAACAGGGATCAAAGTCAGCGAAATCGCCGATGCGTATATGTCGCCGAGACCACTAATTTTGCGGGAGCGTAATTCCATAAGTTTTCAACCAAATTTCGTACTTTTGGTGTCATTACCATTGGGAAAATATTCTCTATCATTTCATAAGATTTTTTTTTTTTTCCAAAAATTTTGCGACATAGAATGACAGTTTCAGAAAGGGGCTTGCGACAGTCAAAGGGTTAACCTATTGAACCACGAACATAAAACACATGACAACAATGTAAAATTTTGGGCAGCTGGGCATTCGCAAATGTTCAAAGCTCGCGAAAGTGGAGGGCTAGCTGTACTTTTTGACAGTGGGAGCAAAGATCTCATGAAACCACTCAATAAAAAATCGTCTTGTCAACGACCAAAAGAACGTACATAAACCAGAACATTTTTTTCTCAAACACCACATTCGATAATCGATTTATACGACAAGTAATGAAACTTACAAGCGAGGTTCAACTGTATCCATAATACATATAAATGAGAATATTGTATTACTATAAAAATCTACAAAAAAAAAAAAAATAAATAAATAAATAAATATATAAATTCTACATCACCTTAGGATCTGCAATGCTTTCAACGTATGTCTGGGACTTAGCTGCCAAACTCACCACCACAGCCCCACATAACTGGAAACACAGGAAAAAATATTTTAATTTAAGGCCTTAAAAAAGGTACAAGAACAAATTATTATGCCATAAATTATTTGGGGAGCTGAAGGTATTGGGAAGATGGCAGGAATGTTTTGAGGAACTTTTAAATGTTGATGAAGAAAGAGAGGCAGTAATTTCATGCACTGGCCAGGGAGGTACAGCATCTTTTAGGAGTGAAGAAGAGCAGGATGTGAGTGTGGGGGAGGTTCAAGGCATTACGTAGAATGAAACGGGGTAAAGCAGCTGGAACTGACAGGATCATGACAGAAATGTTAAAAGTAGGAAGGGATATAGTGTTGGAGTGGTTGGTATTTTTGTTTAATAAATGTATGAAAGAGGGAAAGGTACCTAGGGATTGGCAGTGTGTGCGTGTATAGTTCTTTTATATAAAGGGAAGGGGGACAAAACAGATTGTAAAATTCATAGGGGAATAAGTTTACTGAGTATACCAGGTAAAGTGTATGGTAGGGTTATTATTAAAAGAATTAGAGGTAAGACAAAGAGCAGGATTGCAGATGAACACGGAGGCTTTAGAATGAGTAAGGGATGTGTAGATCAACCGTTTACATTGAAGCATATACAGTAGTACCCCTAGTTTCATACAGCTCCTAACTCGAACAATTACATAAGTAAATTATAATAGTAAGTGTTTTTGTATGTGTATTTTTGGGAGTCTGAAACGGGTTAATCTAATTTACATTATTCCTTATGGGAACAAATTCGTTCAGTAACAGAACTTATCAGCCTTCTGGAATGAATTATGACAAAAACTCAGGGTACCACTGTATGTGACCAGTACGGAGCATTGAAATTTTTGTCAAAGCTGCACTCTTCAGACACTGTTCCTTGAACATTAGCTGAATTGATACTTTCTCTGTCCATATTACTACCTCTTTTTTTTTTTAAATACTATCAATTGATATTACTTACTAAAATTAATAAATATCATTTTTACTAAAATTTCTATTTACTCTTAACATTTTTGACATTTAATAACCATTACTTGTCTAATTACCTTTACCTGTTTTAATACCACATTTACTATCCTAGATTACTCTTAATTACCTTGTACTGCCATATAACCTCAAGTATAACTACCAGTGCAATATTGAATGAAATAAACATTACTTTTCACTTTTTTGTAATCATTATTACTTACTAAAATTTTTATTAAACACCATATTTACTACCAGTCAATTTTACTTTTGTACATTAAACATTATTTTATACTTCCCATAACATTTTGTTGCCAAATTTTCAAGTTTTTATATTCAACCCCAACCTTTGTATTATCCTTTGTACCTGTGTACCTGGGTACCTGTCTACCATCTTACTATCATATTATAACCAAGACATTACCATTGTGATTTTTTACTATTATTCTTTTGTACTTTAATTGTGAATTTTATTTTGTCAATTTAAATCTATAGTTATAATCTTGATCTTGTCAACAACCTATACTAGACTCTAGTGCAATTGCAAGTACCATTTCAAATTGTATTTTTATATTATAAGTTTATATTATAATTCCTACCATCTGTCCATTTAACTTTTCTTACCATTACTTAATTTTAGTCCCTTATATATTTTTCCTTTATTTTAGCTTTATATAACTATCCTAGTTTATATATCCACAACTGTTAAAATAATCAAGGTGCTATTCTCAGGTGCTAAAGTAGAATAAGCTCACAATTTTGCCATTATATTCCAAAGCTCATTTATTTGATTACCACTTTGTTGTTCACCACAACCTATATTAGTCCCTTTTTATTATAATTTTAAACTATAATTCTAACTTTAAAAAATTACCTTTATAGTACTACCTACTATCATATTCCAAGCACTATTATATGATCATCACTTTATTTGTATTAGTCCCTTAGCTCATTATTTTACATTTGTTAAATAATTCAGGTGCTCTTTTTTAGCTTAAGACTATTTACTTTGTTTTATACTTAATTCTAAGCTATAGATTCACTACAAATCTTATGATTACAAGCATTGTTCCTGATACCAACCTCTTATTTAATGACTTAAATGAATCAAACAGTTACTGTAATTACTACACTGCAGAACAATCAAAGGCACTTCTCAGTGCCAACAACAACATAACTATCTTTAACTACAATATCAGATCTTTAAGCAAGCATTACGATGACCTCATAGCATTACTAAATTCCTTACATGCCAATATGTCCATCATTACACTAACTGAAACCTGGCTAAAGCCTGATAGTACAGATGTCTATGCCATTCCTGGTTACACAGCCATACACAACTGTAGGCCAGACCAACAAGGGGGTGGCACGCATATACTACTCAGACCAACTAGAATGTATCACTAATACTTGCACAAGGGATGAACATGGGGAATATATAATAGCTAAATTCAAATCCAAATACCTACAAAACCTCTCACATTGATAAACTCTACAGAGTTCCACAGTCAAACATTAGCCAATTTAGTCAAAATCTAGGAAGTATGATAACTGATGCACGCATGAACAAAGATCACTTACTACTCTCAGGTGACTTCAATATAAATCTCCCTGCAAGACCAAGACCCACACGTTACTGAATTCACAAACACAATGAGTAACTGTATGTTACTACCAGCAGTAACAAACCTACAAGAGTTACAGAGACTAGTGTTTCCCTACTTGACCACATCTGGACCAACACCATATCCCCTTTAAAATCGGCATAATTTACAGATAATACCACAGACCACTACCCTACTTTCCTCATAACAACTCTTGGTAAAACTACCCAAGACACTACTAAAGTCACCTTCAGACTTCACAATGAGGCAGCCATTAATAACTTCACAACAGCATTAGCAAACATTGATTGGCACACTGAGCTAGAAATCTATACAGATATTGACGAATGTATTAATAATTTTCAAAAAAAGACCCAATACCTCTATAAACAAGCACTGCCCTAAAAAAAACTAAACAGATGACAGCAAAGAGACTGAACAGTCCCTGGCTAACACCCAGCATTCTCAAATCCATAAATACAAAACACCAATATGAAAAACAGTACAGAATGGGTCACATAACCAGAGACCAAACAAAACGTTACTCGTCAATCCTAACCAGCCTGATAAGAAGGGCAAAAAAATTGTATTATGAGAACAGATTATCCAACTTACGAGGTGATATAAAAAAGACCTGGAAAACCCTATCAGAAATTCTGGGAACAAAAAAGCTATCACGAAATAGCGAAATAAAATTAGCAAAATCAGATGAACCCCAACTCCCACCAACAGAAACAGCAAACAGACTCAATGATTTCTTCTCCACTATAGGACAAAACCTTGCCAATAAATCCCAAGCTCAGATACCCCACCAAATGACTACCTCACCGGCAACTACCCGAACACACTGTTCCTAGCTCCGACTAACCCATACGAAGTCTCCCTTATTATCAATGCACTAAAAAACAAGGCAGGAGATTTAAGTACCTTACCACCCTTTATATACAAAAAATGTCACAAGTGCTATCTCCAATCATTGCAACACCTCTTTAACAAATCCATTGAATCCTCCACCTTCCCTACAGTACTCAAAATAGCAAGGGTCACCCCGATCCACAAAGGAGGAGACCAAACAGAGTTGAATAACTATAGGCCAATATCCAACTTACACCCTCTCTCAAAAATCTTCGAAAATTAATTCATAACGAATCTACTCCTACCTTATCTCCCAAAACATACTCAACCCCTGCCAATTTGGATTCAGGCCTATAAAAAATACTAATGATGCTATTATACACATGCTAGAACATATATACACTGCAATAGAGAAAAAAGAAGTCCACTGGGGATCTTCATTGACTTACGTAAAGCTTTTGATACAGTTGACATGACTTGCTCCACGTAAAATTGTCACACTATGGTATAAGAGGGCACTCCTCAACTACCTCAAGTCATACCTCAGCAACAGAAGCCAATATGTGTACGCAAATGGGGCAAACTCTTCTGCGCAACCAATTACAGTGGTGTCCCACAGGGAAGTGTCCTTGGCCCTCTTCTCTTTCTCCTATACATAAATGACCTTCCAAATGCTTCGCAATTACTCAAACCCACACTATTTGCAGATGACACTACATACGTCTTCTCTCACCCGAGCCAGTCACACTAGCCAATACTGTAAATACCGAATTACAGAAAATATCTACCTGGATGAGGACTAACAAACTTACACTAAAACATTGACAAAACCTACTTCATTCAGTTTGGTAACAGAGCTACAGATGTCCCCTCTTAACATAATGATAAACGGATCACCTATCACAAAGCTAAACAGAGGGAAAATTCTTAGGAATCCACCTTGATAATAGACTCAAATTTCATACACATATACAACAAATTTCTAAGAAAATTTCCAAGACTGTTAGGCATACTATCGAAGATTACGGTACTATGTTCCACAGTCAGCCCTCCTGGCCCTATATCACTCTCTTATTTACCCCTATCTCACCTATGGAATTTGTGCATGGGGCTCAACAACAATTAACCATCTCAGACCACTAATTACCCAACAAAAGGCTGCAGTTAGAATGATAACAAATTCTCACTACAGGCAGCACACTCCACCAATATCAATGCACTAAAACCTACTCACCATACAAAACATCCATACTTATTACTGCAACCTATTACATACATAGAACACTTAACTCTGATTATTAACCCTCCCTCAAACATCTCCTTGCCAACCTCAACAGAACACATGACCATAACACAAGGCACAGATCACTCTTTGATGTTCCTCGTGTTCATCTCACACTATGCAAAAACTCAATGCACATAAAAGGCCCTAAAATCTGGAATTCATTACCTGTAAATATAAAAGAAACACTACCTGTTTATAAATTCAAGTCTCTACTCAAAGATCACTTACTCACCCAAAACCAAATTAAATACTGAATAACTGAACCTTATAAATTGTATATCTTAAATGTTTCTC